CTCCTCTCGGGGTGCAGTGCGGAGCTTCTTGGGGTCTGGCTTCTCCCCGGCCCCCGGCGGTGGGGTCCCGGAGCGCAGCCGCTTCGTGCCAGCCAGGCGCCCGGCCGCCCTGCAGTCCCCTGGGGGGGCCTGCCTCCCGCTTTGGGAATTCTCAGGGCCTCTGGCGCCCACCTGGGTGGGCCCTTTGGGCGCCCGAAGCACTCTTCTGGGTACCCTGACATCAGGCGCCTGCTGGGGGGTGCCGCTCACATCCTCACCGGCGCTGCCCGGCCCCGGGGGGCCCTCTGTGCCAGCGGCCGCTGCGGCGGGGGGCTGAGCCTTCACCTTTCTCGCTCTCAGCTGCCTCTTGCTGCCCGTCGCGGCCTCGGCAGGGCCCACTTCCCGGCTGGGGGCTCCCCTCGCCGGGGCCGGGTGGGGGCCCGCCGTCCGGCCCCCCCTGGCCCTGAGCCTCCGCCTCTGCGGGAAGAGGGACAAGGACCGTGGCGTGGCTCCAGCGGGGCCGGGCCGGGGCCTGCGCCTCCCCGCGCCCCTCACCTGGAGCCGCGCGCAGGGGCCGGAGGGCCACCCCGCTGCCGTCCTCTGGGTCCGGATTCGGGGTCTCGGGGTGCCGACCGTGTGGCCTGCAGCAGCTCTGGAACAGGAGGGCACCGGCGCTGGGGGAGGCCGCCAGCCTGCCAGTGGGAAAGCGGCACCTGGGCGCGCCTCTGGCTCGCGGGATGTCCTCTGGCCTCCGCGCTGTCCCCAGGGCTGGCACCCCCGGTTCTGCACACATGAACTCGGGAGAGGCCTCGGCCCGAAGCCCTGGCCCCTGCCAGGAGCCCTCCCCACTCGAGGCCGCGCCAGGGCCCGTGCAGGCGGGCACACATCAGCCGGGGACACTGGTCCTCTCCCCCTCGCTCGGGTGGCCAGCTCTTGGCGGAAGGACAGGAAAGGGTCACTCACTGGCCGGAGCCGTCGGCGCCGCAGAAGCCCTAGCGAGTTCTCCAGCACGAAGAGCAGGAAGAGACCCCCGAGCACCGACAGCCCGGGGCCCAGGTCCTCCTCCGGGGGCCCGCCGGTCCCGGCGTGCTGCCCTGCTTGTGCCTGCAGAGGGGAGGTGGGTGGGCCCCGGAGCCCTGCACCCCCTGTACCCCGAAACCTCCTCTGGGGTCTCGGAAGGCCCCT